GTAAAGGCACCTACGGACTATAGGGGTTAGAAAAGTCAACGTGTGGTGGCATTGGAAGACGTTCAAGTAGCGAAGGAACGGAGCGTTGCGAAGAATGGGGTTGTGAAGATGGAGGAGAGGGAAGAGAAGGAACAGGAAGTGAATCAGTGTCCATTGAAGGTTTAGTCTGCAATATTTTCTGAAATGGCTTCAAGTGTTTTTGAATTCAAAGATGTATAGGAGACCATATTGGAGATAGGAGGAGGAGGGTGAGTAAAGATTGGGACAGTAATGGACTGTACCAAAGTAGAGGGGGAGGGAAGAGTGTAAGAAACTGGAGATGAAGTGTGGGGGGGGACAGAAGAGGCAGAAACCTGGGAGGTGCAGAAGAGGGAGAAACTTGGAGGGACGGGGTGGAAGGCATAGTACGAGAGGAGGGTGAATCTCCACACTTGTAATAGAGCCAAGAGAGGGAAGAACTAGGTACAGAGACTGGAAAGGTAAAGTGTGGAGGTGGAAGAAGGAAGGAAGGGCAAAGAAGATTTGAGCAATGTGGATTTTTTGGACTTCTGAGAAGTAGAGGGGTGATTGGTATTAGGTGTCGTACGAGGTCTTGTCGATACTGGGGCTTGTGAGGAAGGACGCGAAGATGTGAGAACAGTGAGTTGTAGTCGGGACGTCTGAGCCAAGGACAGCAAAAGGATTAGATGCCAGAGTGGCTATGGGAGGGGTAACAACAAAGGAGGCTGCAGAAGATGGGACCCCAGAAGTGGGGGGATGTTTGGAAACACGAGAATAAGAAACACGGGGTAGTCTCCCTTGGAGGCGGAGATGAGTAACTGCCATAGCATAAGGGAGACCTTCTGCCTCTTTGAGGCAACGGATTTCACGTTCATTTAAGTAGACCTGGCAACGGCGGGAGTACGAAGGGTGAGCTTCATTACAATTAAGGCAAGATGGAGGTTGGCTGCAAGATGTATTAGAATGGTCGTCGGCACCACAGACTGGGCATTCGGCCATAGATCTGCAATATTTCGCTGGGTGACCAAAACGCCAGCAATTTCTACATTGTTGTGGTGTAGGTATCACCTTTCGAACTTGTAACCGATGTCCCGCGACATATACAGAGGACGGGAGTTCTCGGCTGTCAAAAGTTAAACGAGCCACATTGCAAGGGTAACGTCTCCGCCCCCGGGCAGGAAGGACATAAATGTCTACTTTGAGGATTGGGAGATCCTGGAGTTCCAGCTGTTCAAAAATGTCATTGCCACATGACTGGAAATTCTGTTGGACTATGGTATTGGGCAGAATGACAGTACCACTACAAGAATTGAGAGAAAAGTGTTTTTCAATAGTGATAGTAGTAGTATTGATATTCGAAAGGAGAGAAAGATCATGAGCTTGGGTAGCATTCTGGACAGTGACGATGCGCATACCGCTCTTGAGAGCATGAAATGAAATATCTCTACCAACATGACGCAGGAGCGCTTTGCCAATACTATGGTCAGAAAGGTAGGCAGAAGAAGAAGTCGGTCTTAAAGTAAAGAATTTAGTCCATTGTGTGGTCCGAAACTGAGCGTGGAGAGGGAGTGCTTGACGTGTCGTCTTTTCCGAGTAGAATGGGAAGGTAACGAAGGAGCATCATCAGGAGATTGACGTTGGCGTTTAGGAGTAGGACCGGAGTTGGTCCGGCGTGAAATGGGCGGGGGATTCGAAAATTGCCGTACCGTAGAGGGAGAAGCCGGAAGCATAGTCAAAGGAGAGAGGAGTTCAGACAAATCGAAGGAGTCAGTCGAAGCCCCGGTACCTGAAGCGGGTGAGGAAACAGCACCAGCAAGAGGTACAGGGGCATCAGGAGTGTTCCGAAGAGTGGTCTAAACACAAGGCAGGTCAGAATGGGGTGCGGTATCAAGAAGGGGCCCGGGGGTAGTGGGTTCATGGACTAGGGCTGCCATGGTTAGGTTACTCCTTTGCTTTTTGTTTTTAAGAAAAAATAAAAAAAAAAAGAATAAAAAAAGGGGGGAGCGGGGAGGAATAGTTCCCAGAAGGAATGAAAGGGCCGGAAATCTCCCTCCGCGCCCAAGAGGACCTCAGCACCGCTAGTAGCGCAGATGCAGCATGGAACCCGTGCCATACCCTACCCTTCATGCCAGTAAACCAGCAATCCGGGATAGCAACCTCACATCTGCCGAGCTACCTCGGTGGACAAGAGAGGGCGGCCGGATATCCGCCACAAAGCATACCTCCTTCGGCCACCACACCCGGAATCCGAAAGGTGGCTTCCAGAGATACACCCGTCGCCCGAAAGACACCCAAAGCTACTCCGGGATACCGGAGAGGGATTGGGACATCCCCAGGCAATCCAGATTCCACAGCAAACTACGCCACTGCCAAGAACCTCAACGGAATGGGATGGACCCCGGTGTCCTTTCCCCTACCTAGGAACTAGCATGCCTGTGGGAGAAATCCCAAAGGCCAATAAGAGGAAGGGCAAAAGGGAGGGGTGAGGAGGAGGAATGGAAAAAGGGGAGGATGGGATAGGGGAGGGGAGAATGGGGGGTAATTAGGTTCAGTCTGAGGAAGAAGACCGACAGGGCTAATTTCTCAGACCAAGAGCCTCTTCACCACGCCAAGGAGCCCCCCTTGAAGAGGTGCTCAAATCATGCCTTTGAAAAAATATAGGACCAGGAGGGTTTATGCAGTGCATCATGAGTAACACTACCTCAGAAGCATGTGCAACCAGGATCTGTCATGCCACCAACTTCCCTGCCAGCAAACGGTGTGGAACTAGCAGTTGTATTACTCATATTGGTTTAGCTGTTAAATTGCTCATATTATTATTGTGGAGATTGCAGGAGGATGTCTTATTTGCTCAAAAAAAAAAAAAAAAAAAAATCACGCTTTGTAGATTTAACTTATGGCCCAAGAAAGTGAAACAATGTGACTTATTTCCATGTTTCAGGAAATATCATACCTTGAATAATTGTAATATATGATTTCCCTGTACATAATGGTAGAAGTCAAAAACTATCAGTACATTTTTTAGAAAGATTCCTTTTTAAAAGTAGATTTTTCAGCAAGGTGAAAATAGTGCCAAGAAAGTAAGTGCTATGTTGGAAAAAATCCTGCTTATGTGTAACTATCATTAAATACAAGGGTGGGATGTGAAAAGTGGGTTATAGTAAGTGTTTATGCAGTAGAGGAGAGATTTTGGTAGATATTGAGAGTGCATGGGGAGTTTTGAACCAAGTGAGAGACTACTTGTGGTGGGGGATCTAAATACTAAAGTGGGTAAAACTGTTGTGGAGAGAGTAGGAGGTAAGTTTAGGATGCCAGGGGAAAATGAAAATGGGGCCTTTAATTGAACCATGTATAGAAAGAGGTTTGTTAATAAGTAATATATATTTTAAGAAAAAGAGGATAAGTATACAAGATATGATAAAGCATGTAATGAAAGTAGTTTGTTAGATTATGTATTGGTGGATAAAGAGTTGATGGGTAGACTTCAGGATGTGCATGTTTATAGAGGGGCAACAGATATATCAGATTATTATTTAGTAGTCGCTACAGTTAAGAGTAAGAGGTAGATGAAGCAAAAGGAAAACAGCAATACCAAGTAATAGAGATAAAGTTTATAAACTAAGGGAGGAGGAAGTTAGGGTGAGATATAAGCAACAATTAGGAGAAAGGTGGGGTAATGAGAGTATAGGTAGTGTGGGCAGTTTAAAGAGGGGTGGGGTAGTTTTAAAAAGGCAGTGTCAGAATGTGGAGCAGAAGTTTGTGGCTATAGGAGGGTGGGTGCAGGAGGAAAGAGGAGTGATTGGTAGAATGATGGTAAAGAGCAATAAGAGAAAAAGGTTGCTTATGAGAGGTTTTTTCAAAGCAGAAGTGATATAAAAAGGGTGGAGTATATAGAGAGGAAAAGAGAGGTGGTGAGGGAGTGCAAAAGGAGAATAAATGATAATGGGTGAGGCACTGTTAACAAATTTTGCTGGTGCTGTATGACCCTTTTAGGTTTAGCACTTCTTTTTGATTATAATAATAATAAATTTTGCTGAGAATAGGAAAAAAATTTTGGAGTGAGATAAATAGGTTAAGAAAGCCTAGGGAAATGAATGGATTTGATAGTTAAAAACAGAATAAGGGAATTGGAGATATTGGGAAGGAATATTTGAAGAACTGTTAAATGTTAATGAAGAGAGGGAGGCAGTAATTTCATGCATTGGCCAGGGAGGTATCACATCTTTTAGGAGTGAAAGAAGAGCCGGATGTGAGTGTGGGGAAGGTGCACGAGGCATTAGATAGAACGAAAGGGGATAAAGCAGCTGAAACTGATGGGATCATGACAGAAATGTTAAAAGTGGCAGGGAGGGGGGACAGTTTTGGGGTGGTTGGTACTTTCTTTCAACAAATGTATGAAAGAGGAGAGGGTACCTAAGGACTGGCAGAGAGCATGTCTAGTTCTTTTATATAAACAGAAAGGGGGGGGGGGTTAAAAGATACTAAAAATTATAGGGGAATAAGTTTACCGAGTATACCAGGTGAAGTGTATGGTAGAGTTATTAATGACAGAATTAGAGGTAAGACAGTAGGATTGCAGATGAACAAGGAGGCTTTAGAAATGGGTAGGGGATGTGTAGATCAAGTGTTTACATTGAAGCATATAAGTGAACAATATTTAGATAAAGGTAGGGAGGTTTTCATTGTATATATGGATTTAGAAAAGGTATATAAGATGGATAGGGGGAGCAATGTGGCAGATGATGCAAGTGTATGGAAGAGGTAGTAAGTTACTAAATGCTGTAGAGATATTTTATGAGGTTAGGGTGTGTAGGAGAGGAGATTACTTTCCAATAATAGTAGGCCTTAGACAGTACATATATTACTTGTGGGTGGGATGGGGTGGGGGTTTGCCTGACCTGGCTACCATACCCATAACACCTGATTTCTTACAATACTACTCGTCTCACCCTACATTAAGACTACAAATATTTTAAGGCAAATAATGAGTGTACTATATGTGTATTTTATTTTTTATTGCTTAGTTCTATTGCTAACTTAATATACATTATCTGGAATTTATAAGTGGAAAAAAAAAGCGTTACACTTTATGGCGATTTCTGCTTCATGGCAGTAGCCTGGGGCCCTACTGTACTATAAAATCTAAAGTCATATTTATGAATACAACAACAATCTTCCACCAAGATAATGTGCCCCCAAAAATTAGATGTATTTATTAATTTACAAAGGAATATTAGCATGCTTTTTCCATGGATTACTAAGCTTCTTTGATGATAACTTATCCAAATCTTGGCAAATACGACTTCGTGTGGTCCGTGGTTCAATGATGTCATCTACAAAACCTGTTAAAAAATTTTCAGGACTTAATATTTTTAAGAATTATGCTTTTATCAATCATTCAAGCAATAAGGGTCTGAATGATATACAGCAATAAAAGGTTTCCCTAATATTCTCTATTAAAATTGTGATTATAATTGGAAATTTGCAATTTCTGTACAGGACTGTAATCTCCCCCCCCCCACAGTAATGAATTGCATTACCTCTAACAGCTGCAGGGAATGGATTACCAAATTTCTCCATGTACTCTTTTTCAATCTGTGCAACATTGCTCTTCCCACGATACAGTATAGATACTGCACCTTTGGCTCCCATTACTGCAACCTGAAATAGAATAAATTATTAATAATATTTGCTGAACATTTAGGTATGCCATAGATGTGTTAAATTTAAAGTTCGTAATTCAAAAGCAAGATACCTTAGGAACCAGATCTCTTGAACTGCTTGACTTCAAGATGCAGTACTCTTAACTTTTCCCTCCAAATTATGCAGTCACAATAATGTGGCAGAACAAATCACAAGCACCAGCTACAAATATTTTTTTAAACACTGGCTATATCCCACCAAGGTAAGGTGACCCAAAAAAGGAGAAACACTTTCACTATCACTCACTCCATTGCCTTGCCAGAGGTGTGCTGATACTACAATTCAGATGCCCCTCCAAACTGCAAATATCCCCACCCATCCCTCAGTGCAGGCACTGTACTTCCCACCTTCAAGACTCAAGTCTGGCCAACTGGTTTCCCTGAATCTCCTCATAACAGCAAGTCTAGTCATAAAAGCCACTTGCCTCCACTCGCTCTTATCTAACATGCTCACATGCCTGCTGGATGTCTAAACCCCTTTCATACAAAAACTCCTTTACCCCCACCTTTCAACCTTTCCTAAGGCCCTGTCTTCCCTCCACTGCAGATTTATACATCCTCCAGGTCATCCTATTTAAACTACAAATTCTCTGCATAATATTCACGTCACACAATTGCCCTCAAGACATTTCCACTGCCCCCCACCCTACCCTTACTGCAACATTCACAATCCATGCTTCACACCCATATAAGTGTTGGTACCACTATACTCTCATACATTCCCCTTTTTTTACCTCCATGTACAATTTTTTTTTGTCTCTACAGATACCTCAATGCCCCATCCACCTTTTTCTTCTCGTTAATTCTGTTCGTACAATTATTTTTTTTTTTTTTATTAACACATTGGCTGTCTTCCACCAAGGCATGGTGGCCTGAAGAAGAAAAACTTTCATTAATCACTCCATCACTGTCTTGCCAGAGGTGCATTTACACTACAGTTATAAAACTGCAACATTAACACCCCTCCTTCAGAGTGCAGACACTGTACTTCCCATCTCCAGGACTCAAGTCCAGCCTGCCGGTTTCCCTGAATCCCTTCATAAATATTACCTTGCTCACACTCCAACAGCACGTCAAGTCCTAAAAACCATTTGTCTCCATTTGCTCCTATCTAACACACTCACGCATGCTGGAAGTCCAACCCCCTTTACCCACAAAACCTCCTTTTTACCCCCTCTCTCCAACCTTTTCAGGGACGAGCCCTACCCTGCCTTCCTTCCCCTACAGATTTATATGCTCTCCAAGTCATTCGACTTTGTTCCATTCTAAATGACCATTTGCAGTCAAGAGAAATGTAAGATACATAGAGATGCAAATAAATTTCTTTTTCACCTTATCTTTACATTGTTGAAGTCAAGTGTTAGTAAATAGGGTATAACATCTACAGTGCTTTCTCCCATATAAGACAATACTAATGTAGTTACTGAGGAAAGATGATTCATCTTGTAAACACATGACTTAAACTTATGGCATCAATAAATACAGTCCGTAAAAGCCTCTCCTCTTAACCCCTTAATTATCCAAATGTAGATTTATGCTCTTACTGCTAGCACTCCAAACGTAGATCTATGCTTTATTTTTCCTGCCCCCATATTTGGCACAACTGGCCTGAGATGCCTGGTCAGCATAGAATGGGTTCTTAACCCTTGGCGTGCACAGTATTAAAAAAATCTGTGACCACTTAGAAACCTTGTGGATCCTAGTTAAACTGAGCACCAGTTAAACTGAGCGCCAACTACAGTGGACCCTTGCCTAACGAACACATCGCATAACGTTAAATCCACCTAACGTAGCGTTTGAGCGTAAAAATTTTGGGCCCGCAACAAAAAAAACTCGCCCAAAGTGTTTCGTCCCGAATCTGCCCGTCCAGGCCTGAGCACCTCAGCTGCCCTGCCGTCATTGTTACAAGCCAGGGTGGCCAGTTTCAATGCATACAATCGATAAAATTTTGGGTTATTCTATTGTTTATAGTGCTTGTAACTGCTAAATAAGTCACCATGGGCCCAAAGAAAGCTTCTAGTGCCAACTCTGTGGTAAAATGGGTGAAAAATACTATTGAAATACTATCGTACCACGGTCAGTTGCTGCGCACCACCGTCCAGCTGTACTACTCGAAGATGTGGAAGACTGTGTTGGTGTGGCTTAATGAGAAACAATTACCAAGAAACAATTAACCCCAGAGGGTTAGCCACCCAGGATAACCCAAGAAAGTCAGTGAGTCATCGGGGACTGTCTAACTTATTTCCACTGGGTCCTTAATCTTGTCTCCCGGGATGCGACCCACACCAGTCGACTAACACCCAGGTGAACAGGAAAAAATGCCGGGAACTAGTGTTCATATTGGTGAATTTAAGGCCACAAAGGTTGGTTTGAGAGATCGTAGGGCATATACAGTGTGATAAGGCAGGGCGAAGCTGAAAAATTCCCCCCCAAAGAATTTCAATTGTGATAAAACGGGCCCTGTTCTGGAAGAAAATGCCAAACAGGACCTACATTACTCAGGAGGAAAAGGCACTCCCAGGACACAAGCCTATGAAAGACAGGCTAACTTTCTTGTTTTGTTGTAATGCTAGTGGGGATTGAAAAAGTGAAGCCTTTACTCATGTATCACGAAAAATCCCAGTGTTCTAAAAAACCCTGCTCATCATCATCAATACCTTCAAAAAGGCAAGTTTCATTTTAACATTTATTTATATAGTTATTGTGCATGCCCTCATCGTTTTTCCTTTGAAAGGGAAATGTATATTTCGTGAAAAAAAATTTTTTTTTAATACATACTTTTGGCTGCCCTATAATGGATTAATTGGTTTTCCCATTATTTCTCATGGGAAAATTTAAAATTCGGCTAACGATAATTTCGTCTAACGATGAGCTCTCAGGAACGGATTAATATTGTTAGGCAAGGGCCCACTGTAGAGCAAACAGGGGCGGCAAACACCAAGGATTCACTGATGTCATGTCATATTAACAATCCCCTTTTAAGAGGAAAGTGATGTTGACCCCCAAGTTTAGTGGCTTTGAGGTGGATGGGGCCACAAGTGGTTTGCGGAAATATAAAAAAAATCCTCGATAATAACACGTGTATCCTTTGTGCAACACCTTTAAATTTTGGTACCAGGGGTAGTGTCACCCTGCCAGAAGTCTTATAATCTATCTCTAAGTAAAAAGAAACAATTCTGGAACATGTAATATATGTTCAGCAGGCTGGCTGCTGATTGGCTGTCTCTGTCTCGTCTCTATCACATAGGAACACACAGTAAATAAATTATGCAGTGTAAATTACCTAGGATAACCCAAAAAATCCAGACAAAGTGCTACACCTGTGCTTGTAGATATCATGCATAATAATTATGACTGGCAACTGGCATGTAATACTTGTTCAGGAAGCAATGTGATTGTGTGTAATACCAGTTGGTTCTGAAGCAACTCTCTGAGACAAGATAGACAAGCAGACAGACACACACAGCAACAGAGAGCATAGACAAAAATAGACATGTTTATGTGTAACAGCAATAACATATAAAGCCAAGGCAGCAGTGTATGCTCATCAAATGTCACCATTGCTGCACTGTCAGCAGTGGAGTGACACACGTTTTGCATCATGCTTCAAGGAACTTATTATTACATACTCCCTTGTATCCAAAACATTGCTAGGACCTAAAAATTACGTATAAGGGAAACCCTCGGTTTTCGTGTTTAATCCTTCCGGAGTGATCAGCGAAAACGGATTAATGTAAACCCAAATTTTAAACCTTTCCCAGACACCCAGAAGTACATGTATTAACAAAAAAAATTTTTTTTAACCTTAACCCTTAAACGGTCCCAAACGTATATATATGTTCTCTCACATAGCGCCCCGAATATTCTGAGGAAAAAAAAAAATTTTTTTTATAGGAAAAAAGAGAAATGTGTTACTCAGGCATCCCCATTTTTTTTTTCATATGGCGTACACTTGAATGCGCACACCCATTCTTTCATGTCTAGGTGACTCAGGCCTATTGTGCCAATGTTAAATGAATGACAAAAGAAACGTACATATACGTTTGGGGGCTAACACGAGAGAATGTATATAGTATACGTTTGGATCGTTTAAGGGTTAAAGATAGATTTTCATGCACAAAAGAATTTAACATTCAACATGACCTACCTTTATTGAAGGCTGTTGTTGATGGATGGAAGAACAGGGAGGAGGGAGAGGGAAGAGAGGTTATTGTTTGAAGGGAAGCACCCCTCCATAAGACTGTAGGTACCAAGTCCTTTTTCCATGGGGCACCTCCCCTGTTTTTAAAGCCACTAGGACCAGATGGTAGTCACGACCCCTGTCGCCAAAATATCTGTCCAATATGCGTTTTTGGCGTACTAAAGATTTGGGCCTAAAACGAGACATGGGATTGTCGTTGTAAAGTCCCCAGCACGGGTTGCAACACTTTTCTCAGTGTGATTTTTCCTCCACAATGAAAAAGGCACCTTAGTTTTACATTGCACAAATCTCTTTAATCTTTGAAGAAGCACCTTCTTCCATTCATCTCCCTCCTCTGAAGCAATTTCCAGAGCTGTGGTCTGTTGTTGCCAGATTGAAGCTCTTGCCCGCTCACATGGTTAGCTCTTGATTGTGGCCTCCACCAACTTTCCACATCCTGCCACTTCACATCCAACCCCAATGGAATTCCCCAGGGGCCACAATTGATTGATTCATTCATTCATTTTTAATCGCTGGTACTCACAATTGATTTCACAACAAGTTAACGTCAACAGTCAGCCTCAAACCCTTCAAAATCCTTTTTTGGACACAATCTGGCCGCAATTTCCCCAAGCAAGTTCATCGTTCCGGAAGTCAACTCCTTTCCAAGCCTTACCTATATAAGGCTTAAATGCAGTAGAAGATATTGAAGTGATCTTCAGAACTCTCTTAGGCAATCCAGAGTTTCCCAGGTTATGTCAAAGCACCTTTGAACACTG